CCTCTGGGCGTCAAGAACCCACAACCAATGAGCGCCCTGGGCCTGCCCTGCTGGAGGGAGCCCAAAGCGTCAGACACCACGTGGCGCTGGGGCCACTCCCCCGGGGAGGCTGAGGAGCACTTGGCCAGCCAGAGAGGCAGCGGCTGGGGGGGGGGGCCTCTCTCCGCAGCACCCCCAGGCCTGGAGCCCACAGCGGTAATTAGACATGAAAAGATGGGCCTAAATCCAAGGGCCAGAACTCCAAATTCTTCTCCCATTTCAAATAGAAGGCTTATTAGTTCAACATGAGAGCTCAGCCCGAAGCCACGGGGGATGGGAGCCCAGTGCCTCTCCATCCAGCGCTGTACGGTGGGTGTGCTGGGCTGCTCCCGGCCTTCCCCTCAGCACCGGGCCCTCGCCGAAAGCATGTCTTCTTCCTTACTCAAGAGGGAGAGGAAAGGTATGCAAACATGCTGACACCTACTATGTGCCAGGCACTTGATTAGCTTTCCAGCTTTTCCATATTCTTCCCATTTTGCAGAGGAGAACACTGAGGCTCAGAGAGATGAACAAGTGCTAAATAGGAGAGTCAGCGGTCAAACCTAGGTCTGGCCATCTCATTGCCTGCAGAAAAACAAAGCTGGAGAGCCTCACCATGCCCCCTCTCCCTCCCTGCCCAGCCCCACAAGGGCCAGCGCGGGGCTGCGCAGATGGTACAGGTACACAGGGGACCTCGAGTGTCGTATGGGAGGGATCTCAAAGCGTGAATGCGCAGCAGTTCCTGAAGCGGTGCAGGTGGGGCCCAAATCCCTGTGGCTGTCACTATGAGTATCTAAAACTACAGTTCCTCTCACTCAGGACATGTGCTTCTCCCCAGCTTCCAGCACGTCCCTGCAGCTCCCCTCCCCAGCCCTGCCCCCTCCTTTCCCATGCTCACATGTAAGATGAACACGGAAGCTCTACACCATTCTGGTAGGGAGGTGAAGGCAGGAGCCAAAGAAGGTTATAGAGGGTTCTGGAAGAAGTTCTCTGAACAGTAAATTTCACCAAACCAAAGAAGGCCACAGGAGCAAGGGGCTGAAGGTCAAGGGCACGGCTTAGTGCCTTTGCTGTGTATTCATTCATTTGTCAGACCCTCGACCTCTCTGAGCACCCCCCATCCCGTGTACTATGGGTCCTATATCATCTGCCCACGTACACAAAGGTCATCGCCATGTAGCAGTCTGTAGTCTATAAAGAGCCAAGTACATCAGGGATTATTAGGGAAAGGAGGCTTCCATGTTTTTATTTATTTATTTTTAGAGGGGGGGAAGGGAGGGGAGAGAGGGAAAGAAACAGATGTGAGAAAAACGCTCATCAGTTGCTTCTTGTACCCACAACCCAGGCATGTGCCCTGACCGGGACCGAACCAGTGACCTTTCACTTTGCAGGACAACACCCAACCAACTGTGCCACACTGGTCAGGGCGGAAGCTCCCATGTTTTAAGCACTGCACACCAGGTCTGGGCCAGAAGATTTAAATGTGTCATCTCAATCAGTCCTCTATTCAGGAGATGGAAATGCGGGGACTGAGTGCTCAGCAAACATTCACTAGTTTCCTCACATTCTCAGCCTCCCTGCAGCTGGTTGGGGACCCGGTGACGGTTCTGACCGACATGCTAGAGCTGGAGTGCAGTGTGTCCACTCCTGGCCAAGGCAGCTGGATGTGAAGTGTGCCTTCCCCATGTCTCTCGTCCCCTTCTGCAGTAACTGTGGACACCGTGTAATCCAGAGACCGTGGAGTCACCAACAGCCTGGATCCCTGAGTAACCACGTGGAGCAGAGATCCACGTCAGATGAATAACGGGAGCGAGAATTAAACTGCAGCATCAAGCACCCGAGAGTTTGGGGTCATGTGCCGTGGCAGCTAGTGTTACTTAGCCTCACAGTATCATTGCTGGTGCTACTCTGATTTTCACAGATAAGGAAACCAAAGCCATATGCCCAGAAAGTGGCAGAAATAAGATTCGAATGCAGATCTCCAACACACGCTCTCTTTCAATTACAACCTCTTGTTGCTTGATAAGATCATTCCCTCCCTAGAAGCAGTCTTACCCAAAAACACACACATACACACAAAAATCCTCCTACCCCTCATTGTCCCCAGGATGGCTCAACAATCAGTGCACAATGAAAAGGGGGAATTTTGTAAAGCATTCTGAGCCTGGAGGATGATCAAAGGCAGGAAGCAGGGGGCCTGACTGGATCTCAGGGATATCGTCCCTGGGGCTCTGGGGCTCACAGGAGGTTTTGATACAAGAGGAAAGATTATGTCGAGGTTTAGAGCAACAGGACAGGGACTCAGATCAGCTTAGGTGCACACCCCAACCTCGCTACTTTCTTATGCTTTCTGAGCCGCACTTTCTCATCTGTAGAATGGGGACAGTCCCTGTGCCAGCCTGGACGGTGCAGGTGAGAGAAAGGGTTACCTAGCTGCTGGCCGACAGCGAGTGCTGTCCAAGTGTCTGCCACCATGAAGACCATCACTGAGGTGGCTCAGAGCACTAGCCCTGATGGCGGGGGACCAGGCAGCAGGGCAGCCAGAGGAGGCCGCCCCAGCCGGGACACAGACCCCGGAATCTCAGACTGCAGACCTGGCCCGGCCCACGTTCCCGAGACAGACACAGAGGCAGAACACGGAGAGAAGCGGGGCCCACCAGACATAATGCAACAGAGCAGGGGAGCCAGGATGTTTCAAAGTCCAAAGTGTCTTCCAGGAGGACGGCCTTTTATTTTGGGTGAATCTGGGGGCTGTGTATCAGCTTCAACTCATTATCTGCACATATGGTCGTCGGATTCCGGTTCGGGATGGGAAGCAAAGGGTGGAAGAGAAAGGATGGGCAAATCCGAGCTGATGAAATATCATCCCTCAAGTGCCAGAAACTGGGATATTTTCAGTGACGTCAAACTGGGCTTCCTGCCATGAGGACAGGGCTATCGTGAGAATACTCACAAGATTTTAACTCAGAAGTCCTCGGTGAAGCAGAAGAAAGGAAGGAAACGGGGGGGAAAAAAGCAATTTATTTTATGTAGCCTTCCATCCCCACAGCAGATACACACGCACACCGTGCCCCAGGAGATCAGAGCCGGAAAGGATCAAAGCTGATCCCTCATTTCACAGTAACAATAACAATGATGACAATGAGTATTGACCAAGCACTTACCATGTGCTAGACCCTGTGCTAAGTGTTCTATATGGTCCATCTCATTGACGAGTCACAACAACCTGTTGAGGCATTACTGGTCCCATTTTATTGGGAAACTGAGGCACCAGAGGTTGAAGAGCCTAGGGCTGCTGAGCTAGTAACTAGGAGAAAGCCGACATTCAAACCCGGGCAGCCTGACCACCACGCAAGGCTGCCTCTCCAGAAGCAGGGAAACTGGAGCTCAGCAGGGGTGGTGACTCACTCGAGGTCACACAGCTCCACTTGTAACAGAATTAGGGCCAGAACCCACGTCTTCCTGACTCCCGGTGCTGCAGCCTTTCCACTCCATCCTGTTGCCTCTTAGCGCTCACACGCACGCACACACCAGCGAACATGTTTCTGCTCCTCTCCGAGTTGTTCGAGCCACTAATTAGAGCAGCCGTCTGGGGTGCAGACAAGGGGTCAGGGTTGGACCTTAAGGGAAGTGAAAGGATGAAAGAGCTGCTTTGCCAGTTGCCAACACCGGGGGCTCATCGCCTCACTCGCTCTCATTTTAATAAGAGTTTTCATGATCTGCTCCCCCTCCCTCGATCCGAGCGCTGAGGCGGCTCCAAGGTGCCAGGCTGTGCGGCAGGAGGAGCCCAAGCTGGCAGGTTTGCTCGATGGCATCAGGTTGCAGAAATGCCCGTTCAACCCATCATCTGCTCCTGGGGGGGGGGGTGCTAAAGTGCTGGTTTCCAAGGCCCTCCCTTTGCTGTGTCCCAGCTGAGCATGAACAAATGTTCCTGATTTTCTTCCCAATGGCTGACGAAAGGGGCCAGAAGAACAGCTCTCTGGAAAGAGGGGTCCCTAAAAGGGACAGGCCAGCCACCAACAGTTGCCCCTCCCAGGGAAGGGAAGAGAGTGAGCGCTTGACAGGCATCAGGAGAAAAGCAGTGTGTGCGCCCTCAGATAGGAGCTCCCAGCAGGCACCCACCTTCCCCTGTCTACCGAAACCTGATGGAGGCCAGGAGCCTCATTCACTTTGCTGCGTAGGGTGGGGCAGGGTGGGGCGAGCGGACTGGAGAGGTACCCTCCACCGGAGGAAGGCAGGGCCTAGCACTCTAAAAGGTTGGACTTGTCTGACTTTTAAGCTGCAAAGCCTCTCAGGTCTCCTAGGGCAGCACCCTCATTTCACAGGCTGGGAAAGCAGGAGCAAGAATGAGTGGGGAAGTGACTTATCCAAGGCCACACCGATGATCCAGAAGAGGCGGATTCCGAATATGCCAGTTTCCTCCCTTCCCGACCCCCTCCCACAAATTCCTGCCATAAGCCCTTGCTCTGAGACCCCTGGCACGCCGGTCCCTGCCCAGCGCCGTGTCTCCATCCCACCCCTCAGACCACTGAAACTTTAGTAACTTGTGGATCTATTTCCAGGCTCATGTGGAATTTTTTATTGGCGGTGGGGCAGGGGGTGCTTTTTGGATCAACCCAAGGTGTCCTAACTCCAACTCCAGATGAACTTCTGCTCCTAGAATGAGTGCCTTGGAATGTCCAACGAGGCACTGCCATTTTGACCACAGGTTGCATACAGATACCGCCAAGCGTCAGGCATTCAAATGTATTTGGGGATGGGGCAACAAGGACACAGAGTGACCAAGGCTTGAAATTTTGCTGAATCCAAGTTCTCAGAGTTTGCCCTGGAGCAGTGTGAGTCCGCCCACACAAACACAGGTGTCAGCAGCCCCCGGGGGGTCTCGGCTCCCTCTCCCCTTCAGGGCACGTGGGGATGGGGGGGCAGTGCGGAGAGAATGGGTGAGACACAGGAGCTGCCATCCCTCTGGGCCCTGTACTCACATCCAGGTTCCAAGGGCAGGGCTGGCTGTTCCAGGCAGGCTTCCCTCCTCAGAGAAACAAGAGTCACTAAAAACAAAACAAAACGGAAAAAACTCTTCTGTTTTCTGGCCCTGAGAATGCATCAGAGACGGCGGCTCCCCCACCCTTTCCTCTGTCCGTCCCTTTCTCCTTGTCCTCTACTCAAAATAAAAACCAGGCTGATCTTCCCCGATGGCCAGTCTGTCCTAGAGCTCGTTGCTAGCATCCAGCAACAACAGTGGGTGGGCTAAATGGAGGGCGAGAACCTCAACCCTCTCTCAGGTCCCGCCCCATTTCCATGGCCTTTGTAGGGGACTCAGGGACACGGGAGGGGCACTGCCCAATGAGCGCACAGTTTCTAGCCAAGAGAAAGATGAAAACTCCCACCATCTTTATTTGGCTCATGTAAACTAACTTGGGGTGCAGGGGAGGGAGGGAGTTAGAGATGTGCCGCACCAGTCCCTTGGGTGTCCCTTCAATGTCGAACAGCCCCACACATGACAAAGTCGACACTTCACAGATGCCAGCAGCTGCCTTGCTCCCCAAGGCCTCAGCAGGGACACACAGACAACAAACACACAATCGAGCCCCGAGATCAGACAAGGACACGCGTAACAGGCTTCCAGTAATGACTGAGAAATGACCGGGCGAATGTGGCCTGTAGACCACAGATGAGGGGACAGGGGTCCCCTTGTTGACTGCTGAGGAAATTATCACTCGAGCGGAGGCTGCTCAAGTTGTTAAGAGCCCCCCACCACCCCACCCTGTGCCTCCCCCTTGATCTGTGCCCAGAGGAATGTGGATAGGAGGGAACATGATATGCAGCGGACCCTCACCCACAGGCAGGTAGGGATCTGGCCAGACCCAGGGAACAAAGGTACAACTTCTACAGAAAGGGTGCATTCAGAGCTTTGGGTTTCTCTCTCTAAAGAAACCTCAAAAAAAGTTCCTTCTCCCATTCATTTTTCTCCAAACGAATTTGCTGTTAGTGTACAGTTTCTCTAATTTTTATTTTTCTGGCGGTGACTTTATATTCACCAAGAAACCCTGCCAGCAACCCCCTTCCCCAGGAAAAAACCACCCCCTCGCAGCCAAGCTCCCCAGCACACGGTGCAGTTACAACTGAGGCACCCCAGCTTGGCACTAGACCCTCTTCCCGAGCCCGGTTGTGCGGCGGGGTGCTCCTCTGGACCGGGCCCCGCGCGCGCAGAGAGGGTCTGTGGTTGTCTGTCCTGGATGTCGGTACTTCCGTCTAGAAGAAACCAGGACTCGCCTTCCTTTGGGTAAAAGGGCCAGGGAAGGGCGCCCCCTGGCGGGAGCCAATCGCCTCCGTCCAGCCGGGTCCCAAAGCCGGCGAGAACCCACCCGAGCCCCCCAGCCCTCCCAGCGGACTCCCGCTACACCCCTAATCTGGTAATAACCGAGCTTCGTTCGGATCCACCAAGCACCCCATGGAATCTCTGCTTTCCCAAACCACACATACCGTGTATGGGATCAAGGGGTCCCCAAAGAAAAGGGTGGAGCCCCGCTCCACCCCGCTGCCAGGGACCCCGAAGGCAGCAAGCCCTCAGTGCCTCTTCTGGGCCCAGGAATCCGCCGGGCCCCGATTTTCGCTCCCAATCCCTAGTCCCCACCTGCCCTCCTACAGAGTGTGGGGCGCGCACACCCTCCCTCCAGGCGCAGTCCTCGTCGAGACCCAACCTCGTAACCACACCTGCCACCCTCCGCCATTCTCCCGGCGCCCCCCAAGCACCCACCCAGAGCTCTCAGAGCGGATCGGCGCTGCACCTGTCCGCGGGGAAGCCCCAGCCCTCGGCGGATTCGGTGCAGGATTAGACGCAAGCATGTCTTCCCTGCCCCCTCCCCATGCCAGTTTAAGTAAAACTTGGTTCCAGGGCTTCCCCGGACCGTCTCGGGATCCCCCTAATTCCCCCCCAACCCCACCCACCAAGCCCAACAGTTTCCCGGAGGGAGCGCGCGTGGAGTCTCCAAGTCCCCAGGCGCAGCGGCGGGACGCACGGAGTGAATGAAGGTGCGGAACCCCCTACCTTTCAGCTGCAGCGGCCCGACCCCGCGCCAACTCCCAGCCGCGGGGGAAACTTTCCCCGCGCAGTTCGGCGCGCTCGCAACTTGCTGGGCGCCTGCTGCCTTCCTGGCGGCGGCGTGTCCGGGGACCCGCTGGTGGGAGGTGCCGGCTGCGCTCGCTCGAGGCTCGGGGCTCGGGGCTCGGGGCTCGAGGCCGGGGCTCCAGCGGCCTCGCGCGGCTCTGCTGTGGATCGCTCCACGTTGTGTCCGCCCCGTAGCCTGGAGCCCCGGAGATGCCGGCGGCAGCTGCAGCGGTCCGCCAGCCCGCCCGCCGGCCCCACCTCCCAACCACCGCTCCGTCCCTCCCTCTCTCCCTTGCTCCCTCCCCTCCCCAAACCTCCTCCCCTTCAGTCTCCAGTCGCCGCCGCCGCTGCTGCCTTGGCGGCCGCCTTGAAGGCACGTCTGCTCCCGCTGGCTGCCCCTCGCCTCCTCCCTGCCTTGGTCTCCGCCTTCGGTCCAGCATCCAGGCCTTGCTCTGGGGCGCACTGGGGCCAACTTCTGTCCTTCTCCTCTTCCTTCGCCCCCTGCCTGTCTCCCCCTTCTGCTTATAGGCCCACTTCCGTTGGGGAAGTGGGCAGAGTGGCACACTGGACCTCCGGGGTATTTATTCCAGGGAAATTTTACGAAGTCTCCGGGACCCCGCGGCAGGGTTGGAGGGGGCGACCCCTCCATCCGGACCTTGCTCCTTGGCTCCCTGTTGCCCTGGGAGTACCCGCCGAAAGCCAGGGGTCTCACCCTCTCTGCGCTGCTGTTAGATCGTGGCACATAATAGCGGCGACGGGAGGGGGTGCAGTAGGGAGGGGCCTGCCCCAGGCCAGATGCAAATGACCGATTGCCAGAGGCCAGATCTGAGTCTCCAATCTCAGGACTATCTTTTCATCTTTGTACTTCTGCCACAGCCTCACCCCCCCCCCCCCCCCGCAGCCCCGCCCGCGTGGGCCCCTGACACATGACTTCACTGAGACATTTAACCTCTGAACCTCCTCTGTAAGGCAGCTACCCACTCTGCTCGCCTCAGAGAAAATGGGCAAGCAAGCAGATCAAAGCCGACAACCCAAGTGAAAGTGTTTACTAGACCCGGATGAGAAGGGCTCCTGTGTCCACTCCTCTGCCCTGGGCAGTTGCTTTTTTTTTTTTTTTTTGAGTCTCATTTCTGAAGCTTTCTCACCCAGTGTTTGGTGGCCCTAGACGTTCCAGCACACACCAGCTCTGTGGGAGGGCCCTTGGTCAACTGTTTCTCACTAGGATGTGAGTGACTGATAGGATTGAAACCTTTGCCAGTCTTGGGTGTGAATATCAGTGATGTCAGGCTACAGGGCAGAGTTTCAAGGGGCAGGAAATTGCTGCCTTTCCTTGCCCACATTCCAGGAAAAGGATACATCCCTCTAAGGACTTCGAGGATGTCTGGTCCTTTCAGCCATTTCACCGAGTCACTGGATAAACTGAGGAGAGGCTAATAGAGATGTGTCTGGGAGAGGAAAAAATGGGATCCACCGTTTTTAAAGGACCCAGAGAGAGCAATGCTTCACACAAGAGAAGGAAATCTCTAGTAGAGCAAGTTCTGTAACTCAAGGACAGGGAAAACGCTAACGGGGCCTCCGGCTCCACACTCACCCCCTTCAGCTGCCAAAACAGGGTTGGGGGAGAGGCTGACCCTCTGAGCTGAGAAACCCCACAGGCCCACAGGCCCTGCGTGGATGGAACGCTGCTGGAAGAGGCTATCTGTGTGGGCCTCCTTGGACACAAGGCGCCACATAAATTTAAAGACGAAAAAAGCGTGAGTTTTTTTGGGGGGGACATGGGAGGTGGAGGCCAGAGACAGCAGGAGGGAGGGAGGAGTTTCTGAGGGTCTGGGGGATTGGTGGAAGCATGGGGGAGGAAGTGGGGGGAGAGGAGGACCCGACAGGCCCATTGGACAGCTCGGACACCCACCGGGAGCACAGCTCCAGTTCCAAGTCCCAGCTCCCCAGGTCTCAGCCATGCCCCTGCCGCCATCGAGATTCTGGCCATATCTGCACACCAGAGAGAAACATTTGCTTCGTAGCTTTCTTTATATCACCTCTTATATTGTTATCCTTTTACTTAAATGTGCTTGTTTTTACAAAGAAATGTTATATCATTACCATAAATGGAAAACCAGCATCACATTACTATAAATAGAAGGCAACCATAAAAATAAATACAATGAAAGTAAAAATGTTATTAAATTCTAACAACGTATATTTAACCACAATTTTTAAAAACTCCAACAAGAGACTACTGCCTAAGGAAGAGGCTGGGCTGGGGCCCACTCTCTGCTGAAAAGGAAGATTAGGAAGGGCTAGAAGGGCATTAAAGAGACAGCAACGAACCGAGACTCCCACGCTGTGATGAGGACTGAAAGAGAACTGGAAAGGGGCTCCCCAAGCCCACACCCTGGGGCGGTCTGTCAGGGCTCTGAAGGACCATGGACACATGACCTGAAATCTACTTGAAGGCCTCTGATAGCCTACAACTGAGGAACATGATTCTAAGTGTATTTGGAAAAACGTTCTCTTTGTCGAAAGTTAGAATCTGCAAGAGCTTAGTCCTGGGCAAGAGAAGGTGACCCCTATTGCAGGGAGCGGGCCTCCCTCAGGCAGGGTGACCTTGGGGAAGCCACACCCCCTCCTCTGGCCTGGGTCTCCAGCTGTACAGTGAGGATCATGGACAAATGGCCTCTAGGACCGCCGTTACTACTCACTGATAAAAGCAAGAAAGCAACCATCGTTGTGACTTGTTGGGAGACTGGGGAGAGGGGATGAGGGACAGGAAAAGGGTCAGCAGGCCTCAGGAGGGCGTGACGGTGGTGTCAGGGCCACACCGTTGACTGACTGGAGTCCAGGTTGTCATTACTCCAGGAGCGGCCTGGCCCACAAGGTTCTAGACGTCCCATTCGCCCTTTCTGGAATGAACCTAGTGGGCAATACATTGGAATCCAGCCCCTCATTTTACAGCTGGAGAAACAGGAAGGAGCTCAGACTGGATCCTAGTCACGGACAGAGGACTGATCGACTGAGGGCTTGTGGCTCCCAGGCCGCGGGCCGGTCAACTGCCCCTGGTGTTTGGGGGTCTAAGTAGAAACGGTTCTTTTAGAAATTCTTGCCTTTCCTCCAAGGGTCTCTTAGCCTCTGTTTTCTCAGGCACCTGGAGGAAACCTCGGTTGACCTGGAAGCCCCAAACTCACTGGGGTGTGGCCAGGGCTGAGCAGCCCGGGTGCTGTGCCCCAGTCACAGGGCACAGGATACGTGGGGTGAGCACCCACACACGGGCACCCTGGGGGCACTAATGCAGAGCAGTGAGCTGCAAACCAGGGGTCCACCAGCCAGCATTCCAGTCCTGCCGATCTTGACCATGCCCTCCCCACTCTGGGCCTCAGTGGCCCCATCTGTAAAATGAGACATTTGGCTTCAGATTGGGGTGGCAGTCCCTGCTCGCGGGCACTAGAGGATGGAGGAGAGGAAGGGAGAGCTCCCTGCCAGCTGCAGCCAGACTCAGGTGACCTCTGCATCTGTTTCATATGACGGTGCCTCACCGGTGATTTCAAGGTGAAAGTGCCCTTTGCCTAAAAAGAATTTTTTAAAATCACTGGAAAGGATGACCTCTTGCTCTTAACATTTATACATTTTATGGCCAATTAGGCTGTGAGCTTCTCAAGGATGAGGGCCCTGCCTCATTCATCTGTGAGTCCCCAGAATCCGGCCCAGAAGGGCAATGTTGAGGGCCCCTTCCTAAATATCCTGCTTTGATCCAGCCACTCGAACCCTCTGAGCCCCAGGTGATGCATTTCTAAAATGGGGACCATAACTGTACCTCTGGCACTGGGTGTCTGGGAGAGTCTTGCAGAAAGCTTTCAGCACAGTCCTGGCACATAATAAGTGCTCAATAAACATGAACCTGGTGCAGGAATGGTTGGCTGGATGACGCTAGATGGGCCAGGCCGTTTCCCCAAGAGGTATCTTGACCTCATAACCTAGCTTTTTGAAGGCAGTCTGCATTTAAATATGTAATCATTGCCTCCCTGATTTTTTTCTGAATTATCTCTTTTTATATGTAATTTGCAATCATCTCCCACCCCACCCTCCAAATGACAGTTCATTAAAAGTACTGCTGAGTGTGATTGAATTTGTTTATCTTTGCAATGATTTCCATAGAAATAAATTTGCAAATTCTAAGACCGTCTTGGGGTGTTTGAAGAATGTGGTCTTGACCCTCCAAGGCCTGGGGCAGTTGCAAGCATCTCCCCACCTCTCTCTCTCTCTCTTTTCCCTCCAAGGAGATGGGACAGGCCTTGGTCAGCCTCTCTGCTTGCTTTCAGGGAAAGGCTGCGGGCCTGCCTGCCAAGGTCCTCCTCCACCCCCAGGAATGCTGCCGGCTGGGAGCTGGAAGAAAGGGATGGTTCTCGCTTCCTCCCCAACCCTCTGCAGGAAGAGAGGTGGGTTCTGGGTGACTGTGCTGGGAGGCGCCCAGGGCCCTGCTTCCACTGGGTGCTTGTAGCCTGGCTTTCCAGCAAGCAGAGCCCCGGGGAATAGATGCTGCCTGGTAGAGTGACTGCTGGACTTTCATCATCCGCCTTTGTTTTCTGTATGAACTGACAGTAAATAATGCAATACTAAAAACTGCCATTCATGGAGCACTTACGGGGGTAGAAGCAACTGAGGTTGTGAGGTTAGATAAACCCCAGTTCTAGGCCTAAGCCTTGCTCCTTTGTTCACCAGCTGTGTGGCTTTGAGCAAGTTACTTCACCACTCTGTGCTTTAGACTCCTAATCTTTAACAGGAGACATGGGTATTGCATGTGCCAGACATTGTGATAAGGCCTTTAGAACAGCAGCTCCCTTAAACCACCAAACCACGCCATTAGGTAGGGATGGCTGAGAAGCTTGGTCCACAGAGAGAGAAACCTGGAGAGACCTGCCTGAAGTCACTCAGCAGATAAAGAACTGAGGTCCAAACATTTTCGTTTTCACTCTCATCAGGACTGTATGCCCAGCAGAGAGGGAGAGAGTGGTGGGCAGGGAAGAGGTCAGGAGTCCTGGGACCATCCTGCCACTGATCACTTTGGCTCTGTGACCTCGGCCAAGTGACCTAACTTCTCTGAGCCTCCCTCCTCTTCTGTAAAAGATGGTAAACACGACGCTACTGGGCGTCCGTAAGCTTTGAAGGAGTCGATGTCTGCAGAGGGCCTTTGAGAACCAGAACGTGTTAGGATGGTCCGTGATGTGGGCCGTGGA